CATGTGTCTGCCTGCTGCTCAGGACATTTTTCATCCCCCCTCCAATCATAATATTTCCTCCCCAGCACAGCTCATACCTTTTGGCTCCTTCATTCAGCCCTCTTTCGCCTCCCTTGTTGCCTGTAATCTTGGCCGGCTATACAGAGAGACATAATGCTCACTGATTCACTTAACCCCGCCCTGAGACTCTCATTAATTCAGCTGCTGCCATGGTGATGGCCTCCAAATGGCAGCATCTCTCCCACCTTTTAATGCTCCTTTGATTAGATGATAGATTTTTCTGTGCACACCTATAGAATGATTGAAACGCGTGTTTTGCTTTTATAAGAAACGAATGGGTAAAAGATGCCCTTTCTCCCTATAAATCCATCTCCGCATGTCCTGTGCCCACACTGAGCGATCCTCCCTCTACATTCATAATCAACAGATGAAAAAATATCTCTGAGCAGTGCCAGGCTCTCTTTGTAGGGCTTTAATTCTCAAACATAAAGCCACCGAGGCACATCACTGCCTGAGAGAACACAGCCTACATCCTCACGTCGGTGCTTTGAAATGTTGCAGGCGGGCCTTTCATCACAGAGAGTCTCTGTAATAAGCTCCTGTTGCTCTGCTTTGTGCACGCTGCACTGTGTGCTCTGCTGTGTAACTGTCCAATTCAAGCAAACAAATAAAAAGCAAATACTGTCATTCATATCGACGCACACTGTTAAGAATCTTATCAAATCTGAGCCAAACACAGTGGGCCAAAAAAACAAAAAACAACAACCCCTCAAAGAGTTGTTGGATGTGTGGCACATTGCTCATAATATGTGAAGTCTTGTTTCTCTGCTGCAACTGTGAAATTTCACAGATACAGAACCATTTCACTGACATTGCTTTAAAATAGAAATTTTCCCTCCCTCCAAATAACTTAGCATATTCATTTATCCTGCTGCATAAAGCACACCTTTGGGGGGGGGTTACATCTTGGGTAATAATGACGCGCTCACTCCCACTGCCCAGTAGCTCCAGTAGGTGTTACATAACTCCCCTGAGAGGTGGGAGCTGAACTGTACAGGTGGCCGCACAAACTGTGTTCTTGTCGAGTTAATTTATTCAGATTATTCTGTAGACCTGACTGGATGTTACTGTCACCGTTTTACTTTATGACCTTCCACATAATTGTCTACATCTTTTTTTTCCCTTTTGCTTCAATATGGCAACCTTTTACTCTCGCTCAACCTTTAATATCAAAGAAGCTATTACAGGTTGCTCCAGTCTGCCCACTCGCTTCCTTTCATCAAGATGTAGGGAGTCTATTTATGGTGTCCTTTAACGGAGCTGTCTCGTAGGTCTTCTGCTGACGATGGCACTGTGCGTCTCCTTTAGGTGACCTTGCTGGTGATCTGTGCTCTGGCTTTCCTGATGTGCGTAGTGTTCCTCGTGGTCTACAAGGTCTACCAGTATGAACAGCCTTGTCCTGACAGCTTTGTTTACACGGTAAGAAAAACATTTCACCGTTCATGCAGTAAAGCATTTTTGTTGCATTATTTTAAATGTCTAATTTAAATGAGGATTTAACTGATCATGAGTGCTGACACTACATTCACTGATACAATTTAAGCTGACATAAATAGAAAATGTATTTTTACCATGGATTAAAAAAAAAACAAAAAAACTCTTATCTGAACTTCCTTAGATCCCCAATAAATCTAAATTGTATTACCAGTGCCACCTGTTTGTGTGAAAATATGTAATTTTTGAGAGGTCAAACAGTACATTTTTCATATTACAGACAAAATGTTCAGTCAATATGCAATAAAACACATTAAATAGCTTTGCTGAAACAGCCATGATGGTCAGCAATTCGCAATAGCTTAACATGGCTACTTTTAATAAAAAATTTCATTATTAATTTTGTTGACTGGTTTCCAGTTGTGTTCCTGTTCCAGGAGCAGTTTAGATTAGTCCTTACCTAAGGCTTTTATCGTCTCATACTGCTGGTCTGCAAAAATGACATATTCTCACAATAAAAGCTGTGGGTCTGTGGTTATCGATTATTATCTCACCACAAAGCCTTGATCCCTCTACCTACAGTGCTGGGAAAAAGTCTTGAGTCACCCTTTATTTCTTTAGATTTTGCCTCCAATACTTTTGCTTCCAGCACTTTTTCACCAACAAGGTGATTCCCATAGAGCTATTACCCAAACACCTGGCACATCGTGACATGGTGTCCTTAAGAAATCGGGAAAAAAATCCAGCAAAAACCTGACACAGGACCAGAGAGATGAATCTGGCCCCTCAGGTGGCCTTTCTACTGTCCAGTAAAGCCTAATCAGAAATGGTCTCAGTAGAAGTGTTGCTGTCAAGAAGCCATTTTCAGGGAAGGTGAAAAGGTAGAGGTATGCCAGATTATACAAGAACTAGTCTGAAAGTCTAATTTGAAACTTGTGGTTGAAATTGCTCAATGCACAGAGGCCAGGAGAGAGGTACCACAGTGAGTTTCTATAGCCAACTGTAAAATAAGGTTGGAGGTTCATGGTTCATGGCTGTATTCCTCCAGTGATGTTGGCCATCTTGCCAAAGTTCCATCACATTTTGATCAACAATGCAATACCATCTGGAAAAAAAGTGTCAATGGCTTAACTTTCTAGGGTGACATTGATCCCAAACAAACTAATGCAGTAAAAGCATACCTGGGTATAGGAACAGAGGGAAACAATATCAGTCATGGATTGGCCTTCAAAGAGCCCAGAGCTCAACATTACTGAAGCACTGTGGGGTCATCTTGTCAGGGAACAAATGAAAAGTCTGGAGAACTATTCTCGAAGACTACTTAAATAGATGACAAGAAAGCTTGACTAAGAGACTGTTTTGAAGAATAAAGGAGGTCATACCAAATATTTTGACTTTCAAGCTAATTACAACTGTATACATTCCCCCCTTATATACATGCATGTTTGCACATGTTAGAATAAATCACTGCAGCAATTTTCCAAAGCAAAATTTAAGACACAAATTGTGCCTCCAGACTTTTGCACAGCACTGTATAACTGTTTAAATGATAAGATTTAGCTTGCGTTGTTTTCTGTGTTCTTTTGCTCCAATCGATATTCTGTTGTCGTCACCTATTGTGTGCACTGAATGAGTTAACTCCCAGTATGTTTAATTCTCTCTTTCTGGAGCAGCAAGGTCGCTGCATGCCAGCTGGGCTGTATGGCAACTACCCCCCTCAGGGCCCTGGGGGCCGCGGACGTCTCTTCACACTCATTAACCACTACAACATAGCCAAGCAGACCATCACTCGGTCAGTATCACCATGGGTGACCATCATGTCTGAGGAGAAGGTCACCCAGCAGGAGACGGAGACTGCCCAGAAACTGGCTTAACCAACCTGGGATCAGGTGGTGGCTTCGCCTGCTGCAGAAAAATAAATAATATGGTTGTGCCATTCAAGGAAACCTCCCAGTCCTGTGGCTTTAATGGTTAAAAATCCACTTCTCTTGGCTGAGGTGCTATGCTGCCTTGTTGATGCAGTTTGGTCAGCTGATGCTTACAGTAGGAGGAATTTCTGCAAGTGAGGCTAACAGCTGGGTGGATTTACAGGTTTGTTTGAATAGCATACACTGTTATTTATTTACACTTTGAGTGGCAAACGTGTAGAAAAAAAGCCACAGAAACAAACACTGACACACACATTCACTGTCTTTGTACATACACATATGTAACAGAGCTCACTTTAGTACTCAGATTGTGAAACGACTGAACCATCTCGTGTCTGCGTCGCTTGTTTTATGCACGCACGACTCTTAATAACAATCAGTTTGCTTTGAATCTCTTTGTATTCCAATACATCAAGTACTGATATGAGCATGTTGGAAATCTCGAGGTTGGGCGAATGGTAAATTTCTCATGAAGTGACAGGATATTTGCCACTGAGGCCATCTGTATGAAAATGTCTTAGTGTTATGGTATTGTGAACAAAGGCTTGACTTGGAGGAAATGTACCAGCAGAAAACATATTTTAAATTGTGCCGTACTGCTCTCTGCATATAGTGCTTTAAAAAAAACTGAGTGTTTGATCAAGTTTCTCTTTCTTTTTTTCCCCTCAAACAGACATGAATGATTGTTTCCATTCATTTGGATTCTGTGAACACAATGTGCTTTGATTTTCTGGCTACACAACACTTATTTAAGGATTACTTTACAGAGCATAACTTTTAAGCTACTGTACTGAATGTTTTTTGCATTGCTAGTGAAGACACTGTATTGCGCAATGCTTCGCATTGATTAATGTCGCCATATATGGCTAAAAGCAGCCACCACAGATACTAGTTAGGCTGATGTAGTGGAACAATCTGACAGTAGTTGCTTGTCCTGTTGTTTCCTTTCTGTATTTGTCATTTAACTTAACTTGCCACAAATTATGTACCTTTTTCAAACAATGTAATGATTGCCATTGAAGTGCATTTGCTACATAAAAAAAAAAGTCAAATGAAGAACTCAAATAAAGTGCCCACATTTCACACCGACGTCTATGTGCAATCCATTTATGCAAAAGAAGATTTTTAAGATAAGATAACCTTTATTAGTCCCACACGTGGGAAATTTGTTTATTTGTTTATTTGTTTATTCATTACTTTGAGAGCAAGTCATGTCAGAGCTGCTGAAAACTCCCTCGGCACAGAAAATAAACACAGTTAAAAGTTCCAGTTGCTCTTGAGCTGACATTAAAAGGAAAAAAATGTTCAAAGCACTTTAATGCTGTCACTGGAATCTGGGTTAATCATTATAAACAGATTAACAGAAACATCAGAAGTCAACAGCTACTTTCTCCTTAGCTGACACAAACCAAGGCAGGCAGCGGCTTCAGCTGCCTTTGATGTTATCTGCAAACCCACATAGATACGAATTATAAAAATTGTTTTATATCATGAAATATCATCATGAATTAATGAGAGAAGGTACACGTTAAATTTGCTATAAATTAGTTGAGAATCATTTGCTTTTACTTGAGTGTATCTGATGTGCCAGTACAGTTTATTCGGCTCCAATCTGCAAACCATTTTGAGCATTTAGAGTAATTTATTTTACATAAAGAACAAATCTTTTTGAATACATGGGACTGTGATGTCAAGATGCAAATACGCTCTAGTGCATAAAACAGTTTCGGAAGAGATTCACAGGGATCGAAATCCAGTCAAACCATTGTTACTCATGGCTGAGAAAGGCAAGATGTTAAAATACAAGTGCATTTTTATATTAAAGCTACCCTAGATAGAATCAGGGAAGAATTAAGTGCCATTTAAACTTGAGGACATAATCTCACGTTCAGTCTCGCTGTTGCCATCACTTCACTTCTCAGTTAGTTGTACAATCACTTCTGAGATTGGCATTGTGTATCAGCTTCAGGCAGTTTCTTGTTGTCCAGAGTCCATTTGGGCAGTCGTGTTAACTGTCATACCAGTCCAGGAAGAGAAGAGAAAAAGAGCACATAACGAGGAAAAAGAGGATCCATACTCTAAATCCAGCGTTGTTTTTGATAGCCTTAAAAAGAAGTAAACACAATGACATTTTACTGAGTGGAAATATAAGTCACATATATACTCACCGGTACACCCGTTCAACTGGTTGTCAATATAAATACCGAATTAGCCAATCACATTGCCGCAGCTTAATGCATTTAGACATGCAGAAGACCTGCTGAAGTTCAAGCTGAGCATCAGAATGGGGGGAAAAAAGTGATTTAAGTGACTTTGAACGTGGCACGGTTGTTGATATCACTGTCCAGTGAATGGCAGTTCTCTAGGCCAAAATGCCTTGTTCATGCCAGAGGTCCAAAGAGAATGGCCAGACTGCTGTGAGCCAAAAAGAAGGCAATAACAACACAAATGACCACTTGTTACAACCAAGGTATGCAAAAGAGCATCACAGTCCACAGAGTACCTATTTTCTGATGGCTGCTTCCAAATCATCTCAAACTGGTTTCTCAAATATGAAAACAGGATCTGGTGACCTCCACAGTCACCAACAGAGCACTTTTAGGATGTGAAACAGGAGCATCACATCATGGATGTAGAGCTGATAAATGTGCCGCATGTGTGTGACGCTATCATGTGAACATGAAACAAAATCTTAGAGTTTTTTTTTTTAGCATCTTGTTGAATCTGTTGAAATTAAAGCAGTTCTGAAGGTAAAAGGGGGTCTAACACCCAGGTGTATCTAATAATGTGACCGGAGAATGTACAGCCAATATATGTGATGCAGAGGTGTGTTTTTCCCCCAGTGCAGTAAAAGGTACCTCTCGTATATCCTCATTGCCTTCTTTGACGTTCTCTGTAGCACCAACGACGAGCTGATGAATGTTGTCTATTTCTGCTTCCTGTCATGGAGAATAAGATGGCCAATAAGTCTGTGTACAACAATGCACCGTGCACTTAACAGACTGCCTGTGTGAAACCGAAGGAACCCAGCTCACTTGTTGCAGGACTTTCTCAGCAAAGATTTCTTGAAGTCGTGAGATCTCTACCACCTTCCCTTCGATTTGCCTGGTGGGTACAAACACTGGCATGAAGCATCCAATGAAAATAATGTGGCTAGCATATACAGTGGGGCAAAAAAGTATTTAGTCAGCCACCGATTGTGCAAGTTCCCCCACCTAAAATGATGACAGAGGTCAGTAATTTGCACCAGAGGTACACTTCAACTGTGAGAGACAGAATGTGAAAATAAAATCCATGAATCCACATGGTAGGATTTGTAAAGAATTTATTCGTAAATCAGGGTGGAAAATAAGTATTTGGTCAATAACAAAAATACAACTCAATACTTTGTAACATAACCTTTGTTGGCAATAACAGAGGTCGAACGTTTACTATAGGTCTTTACCAGGTTTGCACACACAGTAGCTGGTATTTTGGCCCATTCCTCCATGCAGATCTTCTTGAGAGCAGTGATGTTTTGGGGCTGTCGCCGAGCAACACGGACTTTCAACTCCCGCCACAGATTTTCTATGGGGTTGAGGTCTGGAGACTGGCTAGGCCACTCCAGGACTTTCAAATGCTTCTTACGGAGCCACTCCTTTGTTGCCCGGGTGGTGTGTTTTGGATCATTGTCATGTTGGAAGACCCAGCCTCGTTTCATCTTCAAAGTTCTCACTGATGGAAGAAGGTTTTGGCTCAAAATCTCACGATACATGGCCCCATTCATTCTGTCCTTAACACGGATCAGTCGTCCTGTCCCCTTGGCAGAAAAACAGCCCCATAGCATGATGTTTCCACCCCCATGCTTCACAGTAGGTATGGTGTTCTTGGGATGCAACTCAGTATTCTTCTTCCTCCAAACACGACGAGTTGAGTTTATACCAAAAAGTTCTACTTTGGTTTCATCTGACCACATGACATTCTCCCAATCCTCTGCTGCATCATCCATGTGCTCTCTGGCAAACTTCAGACGGGCCTGGACATGCACTGGCTTCAGCAGCGGAACACGTCTGGCACTGCGGGATTTGATTCCCTGCCGTTGTAGTGTGTTACTGATGGTGACCTTTGTTACTTTGGTCCCAGCTCTCTGCAGGTCATTCACCAGGTCCCCCCGTGTGGTTCTGGGATCTTTGCTCACCGTTCTCATGATCATTTTGACCCCACGGGATGAGATCTTGCGTGGAGCCCCAGATCGAGGGAGATTATCAGTGGTCTTGTATGTCTTCCATTTTCTGATGATTGCTCCCACAGTTGATTTTTTCACACCAAGCTGCTTGCCTATTGTAGATTCACTCTTCCCAGTCTGGTGCAGGTCTACAATACTTTTCCTGGTGTCCTTCGAAAGCTCTTTGGTCTTGGCCATGGCGGAGTTTGGAGTCTGACTGTTTGAGGCTGTGGACAGGTGTCTTTTATACAGATGATGAGTTCAAACAGGTGCCATTCATACAGGTAACGAGTGGGGGACAGAAAAGCTTCTTACAGAAGACGTTACAGGTCTGTGAGAGCCAGAGATTTTCCTTGTTTGAGGTGACCAAATACTTATTTTCCACCCTAATTTACGAATAAATTCTTTACAAATCCTACCATGTGAATTCATGGATTTTTCTTTCACATTCTGTCTCTCACAGTTGAAGTGTACCTCTGGTGCAAATTACTGACCTCTGTCATCATTTTAAGTGGGGGAACTTGCACAATCGGTGGCTGACTAAATACTTTTTTGCCCCACTGTATAAGCCCTTCCAGATGATGTTGGGGAAACATTTAGTGTTTAGTGATTTTTATCACAAGTGTTTCAGATCCATGTCATTTAGTTTTATTAGCCACCAGAGGACTAATCTGCAAACACTCAAATCTTTGGGTAATATTAATCCTGTCTTGATCAACATCTAACATTTCAGCCATCATCTAACAGCCATGCTGTTTAAAACAGACTTATCAAAAACAGAAGGGAACATACACAGATGGAGACTCACCTCACTTCATCCACCAGGCTGTTCATCTCACTGATCAACCTCTGGTTTTCCTGCTCAAACTAGACATAAACACAGTACTGAATAAATATGTATAATGCAGATGTCAAATGCTAATTTAGTGTAAATATATTTCCACTTTTATTTGCCTTATCAGGAAATCCCTGTAAGCTGCTTTTGTGATGACAAATAACAATCCAAATTAGTCTGACATTTGCTGCTCTAAATCTTTAACCCTTCAAACCTCTGGCAAAAATCAACAACGAGTTGTCCCTGTGCACCGACACGCTGTCAAAGTACAACATTAACGTTTGAAACATGCAGATCTATTCATTCATTATTCTGTATACATAAATATTTTCTAAGGTGTCACACCATCTGAATTTCCTCTGGGGAGAGCTCATCTTCCACTCGGCTCTCCTCCCACAGGTTTACAGGGTTGTCCTGGACCTCTGATGATGCAGTCTTCTCTAAAGGGCGAAAGACAAAAGACTTTTAAAGACAACTTTAGACGTGTTACAATAAGAAATCTCTCTGAAAATATAACCTTGAGCAGTTATTATGATGGAGTTTTTTAAATGGAATATCTTCAGTTAGTTTATTATTTAGTCCATACTCCTTTATTGCCTTTGGTAAGCTATTCCAGCATTCAGTAACTTATTTTTTAGAGTGAGTGTGTTGTGAGTCCAGATGAGCTTTGAAATTGGTTCAACTGCCTTCAGGAAGCAGTCTCTTAAAGCAGTTTTCACTTTCAAATACAAATCAAGTTGACAAGATTATAATAATAAATGTCCTTTTTGATTACTGTAATTATAACTAGGGATAGGTACCGGTATCCGATGCCATTATGGCA